CATTCCCCCCTACCTCCCCACCCCTCCCTGTCTCTCTTAGTAGAATAAATAAAGCAGGCAGGTACAACCTTGTCTGGAGGCTGACCTACAATACTTTGCCTATGTTTTAATATAACTGCCAAAAAAGAATGGTTTTTTGTTCTTTGTTCACTGCTTTAAAATCTAAAGATATACAAATGTTTTATAATGAAAAGATATCTTGATTAAAACCAAGTAGCAGGACAGAGTGGGACAGAGATAAGGGACAGAAGCACCCAGGAAGTATCCCCAGGTCCAAATAGATCCCTGCAGAGCAGCGGGGACAGACCTGGCTGGGGTGACTGGGAGCTGCTGCACAACATGTGCCTCAGAGTTCACGGGTTAATGTCAACAAGCTTCTAGAACTCAGGAGGAGGGTAGTTGTAGGCTTCCTCTAGCAGGGTGACAGTCCCCTGGCCCTCCTTGACAAGCTGAGAGTGCCTCAGGGACAAGAGTATCCTCAAATAGAAAGGCCTAGGGCCCTGGTGACATTTTACTGCCATGGTCAGTTTGTGGGTATGTAGTGACACCACGTGCTACAGAAGAAACCACCTCCTGGTTTCAAAATTAGACTCAAGTGATTAATGGAATTAAATACCTAGGGTGTACATTGAGCCACGGAAGTATTGGTCTATAACATGGTATTTAGATCAATCGGGGAAATATGACTATTTTTCCATTATACTTTTCAGTTCATTAAATCTCATGCAAGATGGTTACTGTGCTTAATTTCCTTCCTTCTGTTAGTAGTCCCTTTCTTTCTCTGCTGCTCTGAATGCCATGTTGAACTTGAGAAAATATTGGCTATTTCCATACCTAGAGATTTGGCTCCAGAAAAGAGCAGTTCTGGGTTCACCCTTGGGCGTCTCCCAACACCTGATCTCTTCACCATTGCCTCTTTGGTTTGTGTCCTGTCTCACCTTCCTCTCAGACTGGATTTCTCAGTTCCTTGCTTCCAGAGGCTATTTTCCTCAGAAATCCAGGCCCAGTTTTTTGTTTTTTATTATTATTATTTTTTTCCTTTTTGCGAAACCAGGGATCAAACTCAGGACCTTGCGTTTGCCAGACAGGTGTTCATGCTGCTGAGCTATATCCCCAGCCCCTACGCCCAGTTTTGACAAGCCCTGGCCACCTGTTCTTCCCACCCCAGCCCCTTTCTGCACTGTGCGCCCTCTGCTGGCCGGTGTGGGTGGAATGGACACAAGTGGAAGTTACAGGCTTTGCAATCCTTTCCAGTCAACTCGAAGGAGCCCTTTCGAAGTGGACCAGTTATCAGGATGACGTCCGACAGTTTTCCGGCTGGATGGACAGCGTAGAAGCCAGCCTCAGTGACTCCGAAAGGCAGTGTGCGGAGCTGCGGGAGAAAGTGACCGCTCTCGGGAAAGCCAAGGTCAGAGCAGGGTCTCATCTGGGGGTCTTTAGAACGCCACAGCCCACCGCAGGCACGCTGATCCAGGCTAGGGTTCCATCTCCCCTTGTTCCTTAAACCTGGCTTCTGTGATTTTTATTAGTGAGTGAAAATATTCTCTACCAGGCCAATCCTAAACACACGTGTTTTACAATACAGACCACCTAAAATCTATCTGCTTGAATGTCTTTTAATATATTCAGCCTCTCACCATTAAGGTATGAAACTACTTCCTTTCTAGTACATTATTTTGAATCACTATGCGTTTTTGTGAGTTTTTTTTTCATAATAATTAAATTAGTGTAGTAGTACAAATCAATAATTTTTTTTTTTCTTCCCAGAACCGGGGGTTGAACTCAGGCCCTTGTGCATGCCTGGGAGGCACTTATTCCACTGAGCCATCTCCCTAGCCCCAAAACCAATAATTTTTTTATGTATTTAGTACAGGGTGTATACAGGGTCTCACTATGTAGATCGGAGTCATAGTGATCCTCCTGTTTTCAGCCTTCCAAGCGCTGGAATTATAGGCATGCACCACGACACCCAGCCTAAGATTTTTAAACATAAATAAGTTATGGTTCTGTTATTAAAACTTGCATCAATACTAGTTACACAGACTTTCGGAACTTCTGATCTCTAGCAGCAGCCATGGCCTACCCGCCGTCAGGCTGTCGCAACCACGCAGGAAGTCTTCAAGCACTTACATTCTCACTGGTCGATTGGGTCTTCCCTGCTTGACATCGCCATGGTTCCCGCTGAGCCATCTCCTTCTGAATTTTAACAGACTCCTAACTAATTACGGTATTCATTTACTCTATCAGCACCAATGAGGACGTTACTATGTGCAGGCCTTGTGCCGCATTTTAGGTAAATACAGTATGCAAGAGTTGTATTCTGGTGAGGGTACATACACTTGGCAATAAGAGCGTGAATAAAAACCATTTGTGGCTAGTAAGTATTATGAAGAGAAAGAGTAGTGTGGTTTGGGCTGAGGAGGTAGCCCGGCGGGGTAAGCACCTGCCTGGCAAGTGCAAGGACCTGAGTTTGATCCCTGGTATCGCATGCCAGCCTGGGAAGGCTGAGACAGGAGCATCACTATGAGTGCAAGCTGCATAGCGAGTCTGAGCTGCATAGCAAGACCCTGTAACAAGTAAATAAAGAAATAAAAAGGTTGTAAAAAGAAAAAGAGTAGCGTCATTTGAGAGCGCATCATTGGGAAAAGGAGAAAGGGCTCTTTGAAACAGGAAACGTGTAGGTCGTGCCCTAAAGCAGATGCATCCATCCACGGCCCACAGGCTGCACGTGTCCTGCCAGCAGCAGCACGGTCCCACCCACGAGGCTGTACCCATTTGGCAGCATTATGTGACTTCCTGTGGTATTTCCCATGACTCCATCTTGAGGTGCTCGTGTGAGGAGTGTGTGGAGAGCGCCGCACAGGGACGTGCAGGGCGGTGCTGGTGCCACCTCCTGAGCCACCCGCACGCGGGGTCAGGCTGGCCGCAGTCTGCACTGATCAGACCTTACATTGCTTGTCTGAGTGTGTGGGGAAAACGCAGCCACTATCCGTGATAGATTTTTCTCCTTTCTACACTGCAAAGGCCGATGTTTGTTGTTTTATTTAATTATTACATGAGTGTGTTGTGTGGATTTATAAAATAATTTCATAAGTTAAACAAAAATGTCCTGCTAATTTTATATTTATGTTGACGTTTTAATGTTATAATAAAAATATAGAAAGAAAGGAAATTTTGATCCTTGTATTTGTTAGCTGTACAATGTAATTAATCAAAGACCCAAAGCAATTTCTCTTCCCTTACTGCTGCCCAGGCAAGCCAAAGGGCCAGGCTCAGATGCCTGTGTCCTCTAGGGTTTGTGGCACTGAGACCTGCCTGGGAAGAGCTAAGGAAGAAGATTCTAGACAGAATAAGGAGCATGTGTGCAGGACCTGAGGAGTGACAGAATGCCATGCAGGAGGGAGTGGGGAGAGAAGGGGCGTTGCCCAAGCAGGAAGCAGGGGAGAGTTCCAGGGGGTGTGCATGGTCAGGGGCTGGTACCTGGCTGCATGAGGCTGCATTGGATTCCCTGAAGACTTTCCACTTGAGCCTGGCAGGGCTGAGAGGATGGAAGGTGCTTTCTTCAGGGAGGGGTGTGATTCCACTTCAATCCTAATTCATTTAGACTGCTGTGTGAAGAAGAGAATAAGGGCTGGGGCAAGAACAGGTGGCGTGGACACGGCACTCAGAGCCCCATTCCTGGCTATGAGAAGCTGGAGATATTCAAGTAGAAATATAAAGTAGTTAGTTGGGAGCTGGTATTGGAGAGAAAGTTTCTGGACCAGATATTATTAAAAGCATGCACACAAAATACAAGTTTGCACACTCACGTGTGTATCTAGGTCAGATATATATGTGTGTGTATGGGTGGGTGGATGAATAACCTGAGGTCACTTGCCAGCTATGCAATTAAAATATCTTAATTTTAGCAGTTTCATTAGTATGATGGTAACTTTTTTTTTTAAACTGTTCTCTAGCTATTGAATGAAGAAGTGCTGAGTCACAGTAGCCTACTGGAGACTATTGAAGCCAAAGGAGCCAGCATGACTGAGCACTATGTCACCCAGCTAGAGCTCCAGGATCTACAGGAACGATACCTAGCAATCAAAGAGAGAGCCAAGGTAGGGCTCCAGTGTCCTGTGGACTCACCTGGGGGGCAGTGCGTGGGCTGCGCTCATTGAAGACTCATTTTGTTTTTAAGCGTCAATCTTGCAACAGCAGTTAAATAAGCTAAATGAATTCAATATTTTAAAGATGTAACTGACGAAACTCGACTAAACTTTTCAGTTGTTGGTATATACAAACTAGTAAACTAAAGTAGTTTTCAACTAAAAATTTCTAGAAATGGACCAGTTTGAGAAAAATTGTGAGCAGCTTCATAATGAAAATCCATAATTGCTCGAGAATGTCTATGATAAGAGTTTTGGAAAGTACAAAATAATCACCCTAATAGTTATCATTCTTTGTCTAAGACTCATAAAGCAAATAAAAATGCTGTTGAAGGTCTCTATTACTTTGAGGAGAGGACTCTTGATATCGGCAAAGTTGAAGTTGGGCCTGGGAGGCACTGGAATGTCTTCAGTCAAGGTGAGGGTATGAAAATGCAGAGCCCTAAAACCTTCAACTTGGAAAAGCAGAGCTGTACCCCCAGGAAGCGTCATCAACACGCTACCAGCAGTGCCAGCAACAGCAATGGCGGCGGCTGCCACAGCCACCAACACCTGCCAATGGGCAACAGACCATCGAAATGAAGGTTTGACTGCTGACCTGAAGAATTTTAGGAAACCCGAAGAGAAGACACTTACCCAACATGGCTGCCTCTTTGTGGGCAATCTTGCCCCTGATACCACTGAGGAGAAAATTAAGAGATATAGGAAAGCATGAGAACTTCTTAATGATAAGGATAAAAGCTTTGACTTTCTTTACTTGGAAACAGGCACCCTTGCAGAGACTGCCAAAGTGGAACTGGATAATAAAGATGCTTCTCCATGGAAAACAGCTGCATGTGCACTTTGCCCGCTGTAGTGCATCTATCACAGTCTGAAACTTTTCTAAGAACTACTGAAAGAAGCCTTTTCTGTGTTTAGCCCGGTGAAAGGGCTATAGTCATTGTGGGCGGTGGAGGAAGACCCTCAGGGAAAGGCACCAGCTGGCTCTCAGGGGAGCCAGCCTCACAGAGAGTTCTGCAGTGCAGGGCCTTTCCCACTAACCACATTTCCTGTGACTGCGGAGCCTGTGGATGGGTGGGCCAGATGGCTGTGTGGGGTGCTACGGGCACAAACAACAGAGGCACCAGGCCCCCTGCTCCGGTGCCAGCTGTACCCCAGTTCCTCCAGGACTTGTCACTATGATGCCCGATGGAACCTTGGCACTGACCCCACCAACAAGTGAGCACTTCGGTGAGGCTGCTACGATGGAAGGAATTGGGGCAATTGGTGGAACCTCTCTTGCTTTCAGTCGTGCAGCTACTGGAGCTGAATTTGCTCCAAACAAATGTCTCTGAATCTAGTAAAGTTGCAGTGTCCAGTTTTCTGAAACCCTAAAAAGAAGGAATCCAAGGTAGCCAGAATTCTACCTTGGAAAAATGTTAGGAATTCTTCCCAGTAGTTAGGTCTTTCCTGCCTGTACTACTCTAAGGGAGAGTGCTGCCGGCAGAGGGCAGAGGAGGGGTGAAACTTAACATATGAGATATCTATGTGGGATATTTTTTAGTCTATTCTGTGTGGTACATTCCTGAAATTTCAAATATAATGAATTATCAAAGGCTCGTGGGAACCATGACAAAATGGTTCCTTTGAGTCCCACTGAGCTGGAAAAAAAAATGCTTTTAAAGAGGACATGCAGGTTAGAAAATTGACACAAAGTTCAAAAAATTGCACATTGAGTCTAATTTCTCCTATAAGGCACAATGTAAGAACTGTAATTTTTGTTTTTATAAAAAGTGATTTTTTTATGAAAGCAAAGCTAATTTGTTATCTTATCTATATTATATGTTATAAATCCAGAGGTCAGTTAATTAATTCAACACTGTGATCTTTAAGATCCTTTTTAATCTTCAAAATCTTATTTTGTACATAACTCTTAAAGGTTCATTGTTCTAGGGAGTCATTCATATCCAATTCATAATTGTGCTTTTCTAAAATCACAAAAGTAGATTCGTAAAGTACATGGATACTGCACATTGTAATGTGGTCCTATCCTAATCATTTTAAATGCTAATTTCAGGAAGCAGTAACCAAGTCTGAGAAGCTTGTTCGCCTGCACCAGGAGTACCAGAGAGATCTAAGGACCCTTGAAGTCTGGCTGGGGCAAGAACAAGAAAAACTCGACCGATACTCAGCCCTTGAAGGTGACGCCCACATTCATGAAACAACATTGAGGGACCTTCAGGTAAAATCTATTTTATGCAGAAAGCAAAGGTTCTTCCTTCTGAATATTGATTTATTATTTCAAGGAAGGAGAAGCTAATACATATGACTTAGAGTCCTACAGAAAGTTGATACTTCCTTTTTGGTACTGGGGGTTGAACCTAGGGCCCATGCACCATGGCACACACTCCTCTTTTTTATTTTTTTATTTTTAATTAATTTATTTATTTAATGTATTTAGTACCTGGTCTACAGGGTCTCACTACACAGATGGAACTCGTAGTGATTCTCCTGTTTTCAGCCTCCCAAGCACTGGGACCACACCTAGTCTCAGTCACTGTCTCGGCTCGCCCTGGGGTCGGGGCCAACATGGCAAGAAGGGATCAAACCCTGGTCCTTGCTTTTGCCTGAGCAGGCACCTTAACCTGCTGAGTTATCTGGCCAGCTTTTCATCTCTCTTTTTCAGCTTAAAATGGCATCTTCCCAAATTATTAAATTTCCCAGCGGGCTAGGACTTCAGGCCTCCTGCCTCACTCCCCAAGTGCTGGCATTACAGGCCGGTGCCCCCACACCCAGCTAGAAAGCAGGCACATAGTAAGTGTGGCCCTAGTAAGGCTTGCTCCAGAGCATTCGGAGACCTTGGCAATGTAGTACATTGATATTATTTATGAGGCAATTTAGGCCACAGGACTAGGGAAATCATTCAGTACTGGGAGGCCCTGACAAGAGTGGCTGATGTTTAACTTATAAAGCCACTGATGCACCTCTCTCTTGGCCCCTAAAGGACAAACTGCAAAGTGAGACAAAGCTGCAGAAGTCAATAGAGGGAGGCATCACTCTAAGTCAGACTACTGCCAGTATTATGAGCCACCTAGCTTCAATCAGAATGTCCCACACCACTGAGAACACAATCCAGGGCCAGAAGGAGGAATTAGAGGAGCAAGGGAAGTGTTGGAACTCAGGCCAGGAGGCTACAGTTAAGGTGCGCTGTCAGACACGGGAAAGCCATCACCACGTGTTTGCTTACTCACTCCTGCAGCATCAGCTGAGTACCTGACATAGTGCAGGTACCTTGCTGGTTACTGCATGTAAAGACAACCAAGTTACCTTTACTACCTTTAAGGAGCTTGCAATCTGGTGAGGCACACAAACCCACAGGTGAATCTTTATAAGCAATGCGGTAAGACCCCTAATAGACTAGCATGACGGATCCTCTGGTAGCCTCAAAGCAATGGCCCTAATATTGCCTTGGCAGACAGGAAGAGGGCAGTGAGGTTCTCCAAAAAAGGGCTTCCAGATTCTCATAGTGGAGAACTGGAGAGAGGCCAGGTAGGATCTTCAGTGGGTGAGATTGCCCTGATCAGAACTGGGCTAAGATTGGCATAATGTCCCTACAGCTTGGACAAGGTGGGAAAAACAGGGACCATCACTGACATATGCAGTTTCTGGTTATTTTTCTAGTTCTTGTAGAATGTGGTGCAGTGGCAAGAGAACAAAGCCAGGTCAAAAAGTTCAGACGCTAATCTTCCTGGGACCGGTCACTAGATGGCTTCAGGCAAGGGAGGACTTCTGTGATTCAGCTTCTTCCACAGAGTTGTTAGGAGGATTAACTGAGAAGGGAGAAAATGTTACCTATATAAATATCTGGCCTATTCACAAGGTAAATAAATAGTTGAAGTCAGAAGCATCACAATTTCATGAACCTACTGAAGGCTCTCATTCATCCTGCCTTCAAAGAGTGAAATGTCCTCATCTTCCAGGCTTACATGTTGTAATTTATTTGAGCACAGTTGCCCTTCTTTTCTCCAAATAATCCTTCTCAGCACTTCATTCCAGACATCCTGGTAAACTCCCGCTGAGCCCTCTAACTTCTGTGTGGAAACTCAGCCAGTAGGTTACTAACCAGATGTTTCTCTGGCTTCTGGTCAGAAGAAAATAGTTCACTAAATCATGTCAATGTGGCCCAATCCAAACTTTTATTTATTTATTTATTTATTTATTTATTTATTTATTTATTTATTTTGGTGGGTCTGGGGATAGAACTCAGGCCCTTGTACTTGCCAGACAAGCGCTTACTCTACTGAGCTATCTCCCCAGCCTCACAAACTCTAACCCTTGTCTTCCCTGGGAATGGGTTCATCAATTGTCTCTTTTGAATCACTACTTGTTAAAGAAGTAGGAAGGTGCCAGTGGCAGGAGACACAGTGGACCACTGCGATTCCCCAACTATATCACCGAGGTCCTTAGCATCTTGATGTCTTCCCTCCCCTCCCCAGTGGTGTGGGGGCCAGTTGCCAGCACAGGAACCACAGTCACAGATGATTTTTTATAAATTGAAGACCTAATTTGCTTTGTATCATATATCCCTATGTTTAAATATTAAACCACATTTTCCCTTGAGCATAAAGACTTGAAATAGGAGGTATATAAGAATTTCATAAAATGATGATATATTGGTATGTGTAATAGATAGAATTATGTTATAGGAACTATAGAAATGGTGGCAATTTGTGAGCATTGGTAAATCAAGGCAGGGATCCATCCATGACCACAATGTCAGCATTTTAATAAAGTTTTATTAGCACACAGTCAGATGCTATCAGTGATGTCATGGGGAGTGCTGCCCTGGTGGAAGGAAGTAGGCGGAGTGAGACCCAAAGGCCCACCAAGCTTAAAATACTTGCTGTCGAGTTCTTCACAAGACAAAAAGAAAGTTTGTTGACCTTGAATTAGGGCTAAGGATGTACAGAATCACCTTGAGAAAGAAACCTGAACAGTATGGGACTAAAGTTGCTGTGTTTGTGGCCAGTTTGATGGCAACTTCTCCCCTCATGACGCTCTCCTGTTTCCACATTTGCACCTTCACATGCGCCATTCTGTGAGTAGAATGGGGGGCAAGTGTTCCAGTCGCTAGAACGATAAGAGGTTGCTATATTTTTCTGTAAAAAAAAAAAAAAAATAGTTATCAGCAATTTCAGCTATTTCTATGTGATCATCAGGACTTTTTTCTTAACGCTATATTTTTATTAAGTAGGGTGGTACTTTTCACATTCTTGATGGGGTATGACTTGGTTCTTTGCACTTGGAGGATGGTATCAAGTGACTGTAAGAATTGGATTTTTAATGATTAGACATGACAGTTTTCCATTGTCTTAAAGGATATACAATTTTTGCTCTCTTTAGAAAAAGCTTGTGCTCTGTAAGGCTTGGTTCATGCTGAATGTTGTAGGGTGAATCTTTGTGGGTCATGCCTTGGTGGATGAAACGTGGGCGTGCCTGGGAACACCTGGTAGCTAGGTGTGGTGATCCACCCTCCCGGGTTTGTGTATCCTGTTCCAGGACCAGCTTTTCTTGGCCACAACATTCCTAGAGTGCAGCTTGGGCAAAGGTCCCCTCTTAACACAAAGAAGATCTATTATTTCTTTCTCAGAGCCAAGTGTAGCACTGAGCCATTCAGTATCAAAGCAAGATACCTTAGCTGCTTTGAGCAGACTGTCAGCCATAATACACCTAGATCATTTTGTAAATAATAGCCCTTTACTCATGACCAGTTTTACTTGTTAGCTGAAAGTCAAGTTTCAGAAGATGTTGAGAAAAATTTGATGGGAGAGGGGAACTGTGTGTCTATTATGTTAAATGGAAATTTTTCAGACTTTCTCTGAACTTAGGAAATAATCTTCAATTCTAAGCATAGATGTTCTTTGGTACTGGACAGGACAAAATCAGTTTTTTCTAGTAGGAATTGCAAGCTCACCTCATTGGTTTTGTGAGATGCACTGGCCTGGGCAAGTGTGTAGTCTGACTGAGTGTGACAGCAGTCCCTTTGTCCCCGTAGGAGCTCCAGGTGCGCTGCACAGAGGGACAGGCACTACTGAACTCTGTGCTGCATACCAGAGAGGACGTGATCATATCGGGCATCCCGCAGGCAGAGGACCGGGCGTTGGAGTCCCTCCGGCAGGAATGGCAGGCATACCAGCACCGACTCTCTGAGACTCGGACCCAGTTCAACAACATAGTGAATAAGCTGAGGCTAATGGAGCAGAAGTTTCAAGAAGTAGATGAATGGCTTAAAAAAACAGAGGAGAAAGTCAGCCTCAGGACTGGACGCCAGTCTAACCGGGCGACCAAGGAGCTACAGTTGCATCAGATGAAGGTACCACAGACACCTAGAAATGCTTGCTGTTTGTCATCTTGCTTAAATTGCTTCATTACTATTTGGCAAGTGTTTGTCCATGGCTTATATTTTGCAAAATCTCTTTCCCCTCTACTAGAAATTTAAAATAATCAAAGGGAATATTTCCTTACATTTATTTTACAGTTCAGTCTTTTTATAGAATGTATTTTGATGGAAATATATATTTTCCTTCTATATTTCATTAGTACCTTGTTTTATAAAGGTTCAAAATAGTAACATCACAGGTATTTAAGTGTGTGCTTCTAATATGAAGTTGTTCTAATATCCTACACTAAAATCAGACATAATAATTACTTTTATTCTAATTATTATGTAATGTCCATGTGTACATCCAAACTCATGCATAGCAGTTTTTTTCATTAAGTACCTCTTACAAAGTTGATTTAAGTGCAAAACAAAATATCGTATATGTAGGTCATATGTATATTATATATATATAATATGCCACATTGCTGTTTTAAAAAACCTTTTGAATCAAAGTGTAATACATATTCAAAAGTACTCAAACTCACAAGCATATAATTTTTTATGAAATTGTTGTAAGGTCTTTGTTTGCCAAAGTTATATAAGACATCTTCTCAAAATGATATCCCAGAATAAGTATATTCTAACACATGCTGAACTAAGGCTCCTCTGTGAAGAAAGCGTGTAGTGTCTTCCTTAGCCAACACTGGCTGGAGTGGAGTCCTTCTGTCTGATTCTCACATGATTACAGAAATGGCATGAAGAAGTAACTGCGCATAAGGATGAAGTTGAGGACGTGGGTGCTAAGGCGCAGGAGATGCTGGACGAGAGCCATGTGAACAGCAGAGTGGGCTTCCAGGCAACCCAGCTGACCTCACGATACCAGGCCCTGCTCCTCCAAGTGCTGGTGAGCGCCTGCTCCTCTGAGCATGGGCCAGCCAATGCCATGCACCCAAGCAGCCTTCTTGCCGTCAGCCCCAGTACAGAGCCACAGTGAGCAGCAGAGGCCCTGGCCCTGCCCTTTCACCCATGTTTTTATTCTCTCTTTTTTTTCATAGGAACAAATAAAATTCCTAGAAGAAGAAGTCCAGAGTTTGGAAGAATCAGAGTTATCCCTCAGTTCCTATACTGATTGGTATAGTTCTACTCATAAAAATTTCAAGAACGTGGCTACCAAAATTGAGAAAGTAGATAAAGCAATGATGGGGAAAAGGTTGAAGACATTGGAGGTAGGCATGCGTTCTCCAGGATGGGCTCTGACCCTTTCTCCTTCACTGGCCATGCCCTTGGAATCTGGTCTGCCCCTCCTGACCCCACCTGGCTAGTGAGCTTGGCTCATTGCTTCACTCCAAAGACTAAGTCTTGGTCAAGCTCCTGTAGGGTCTACAGCTGGCTTAGGACTTAGGACTTTTTGGGAAGTGGCATCATCTGAATGCCCATGGAGTGTTAGAAAATGTCTAGTTTGATCTTTAAATACAGAAAGAGAGGGCCAGCAAGATAGCTCAGCAGACTAAGCACCTTCTTAGGCAAATGCAGGGACCGAGGTTCAATCCCTGGCACTACATGCCATCCTGGGCATGGTGGTGCACCCCTGTAATCCCAGAACTGGGATGGCTGAAAACAGGAGGATCACTATGAGTCTGAGCTACATAGTAAGGCCCTGTACCAAATACATTTTAAAAAAATACAGAGAAGGAGGTAGGCAGAGAGACAGAGACAGAGATAGATAGAGAGAGAGTTCCCAATGCTTAGGAATTAAGACTGAGAAGTAAATTTCAGAAACATATGTCAAAGGAATATAGGTGGACCTCAAAAGTCTTTTCTTTAAGAAATAAGTAAGATCAACTCTCTGCTTGCTTCCTGTTCATTGCTTTTGTCAGATTTTGTTGAAAGACATGGAGAAAGGCCACAGTTTGTTGAAGTCAGCTCGGGAAAAAGGAGAGAAGGCTGCTAAATATTTGGAGGAAGGTGAGGCAGAGATGCTAAGAAAAGACATCCATGGTCACGTGGAGCAGCTGGAGGAACTGACCAGCACTATGCGAAAAGAGCACATGACTTTGGAAAAAGGTCTTCATTTAGCGAAGGAATTCTCAGATAAATATAAAACACTGACTCGCTGGATAGCAGAATACCAGGCAATCCTACACGTTCCTGAAGAACCCAAAATGGAACTGTATGAGAAAAAAGCTCAGTTATCTAAGTACAAGGTAATGCCTGTTACATGTGACGGATGTGTGTGGACGGCAGGGACAGCACAAGGATGGGGGTGGGAAGAGATAATTCCTGGTGAATGTCACCCCTGTGGATGCTAGCAAACATCTGTGACAAGCCTGTGTGTGACACCACATCTATGCAGACAACTCCTGGGAGTTAATTGTCCATTCAGAGATCTGATGTCCAAAAGTCATATCATAAGTTCATTGACTGCAGCAGTCAGTAAGTGGAGACATTTTCTGATCCGGGTATATAAATCCTCAACATATATCTTACTGGCATCTAGATCCCATAACTCTGCATTCTTATTTGAGCCTATCCACAGTAAGCTGAAGACAAGGTACTACATTTGACAGGAAGTTCTAATGAACTATAAACAATTCAGCAATTAATTTTTGAAAGAATAAAAGTAATGCAGAGATAGTTACATGTGATATAGACACAGATAATTTACCTGCTCAGAGTTTATTTATTTATTTATTTATTTATTTATTTATTTTACTCTTATTTTTATTTTTTATTTTAGTACAGGGTCTACAGGGTCTCACTGTGTAGATCAGACTCATAGCGATCCACCTGTGTTCAGCCTCCCAAGAGCTGGGATTACAGGCACGCGCCACCACGCCCAGTCTCAATCGCTGTCTCAGTGCGCCTTGGGGTGTGGGGTCGGCGCGGCACACTGGGGATCGAACCCCAGTCACTGCGCCCTGCCTAAGCAGGAGCCTTACTCCACTGAGCTATCTGGCTGGCCCTTGCCTGCTCATAATTTAGAAGCAGTTATCTAAGTTTACTTATTTCTTAAAAGGACCAGAATGGTTACACAGTGCTGCTTATTCAGAAACTTTTCCTCTCACAAGCGTTTTGTAAGCACCTCCAGTGAGCACATCTATTTCGGAGCCTGGCCTCTGTGCCAAGCCAGGCAGCTTGTCTTTGAAGCTGTCACACAGGCATCACAACCCATGTTCCCACCCCTGCACCAGATTCCTGATATACTTAAATAGTGCTGTTACCCTGTCACAGTGAGGTTGCAGCTGGGATTTGCCTCCCTGACACCGCATCTAATTCAAGCTAGAGGGAACTTTGTGAATCCAAAATCAAAAGACATTGCCATCACTCTATTTTATGTTGGGATCCTTTCTTCCTTTCTTGAAAGGAATGAAGGACAAGCAAGAAACATGAACTGAGCTAAATTTAGTTCAATGTAATTCTTTTCCTTGTTTTCATCTCTGCATATGAAACACTGTTCGACAATCTACTCTCCATCTGTACCATATTTGAAAACTGTACTAGCCACAGTGAATCATCTCTTTATAATGTTTTACACTTGTTGATGCATAAACAGAATACCAGAACTTTCTCTGATACAGCTTATGTGTTGCGTACCGCAGACATGTGTGTATTCATCTTATTCCCATGGATGAGCTGGGTTGTTTTTTTTTTTTTTTTTTTTTTTTAATTCAAGTCATTGCAGCAAACTGTGCTGTCCCATGAGCCATCAGTCAACTCAGTGAGAGAGAAAGGTGAAGCTCTTCTGGATCTGATCCAAGACGTCACCTTAAAGGACAAAGTAGACAAACTTCAGAGAGATTACCAGGACCTCTGCAGCATGGGAAAGGTAACGAGATAAGAGATCCAATCAAATGGTCTGCCAAAAATTGTACACACTGGCTCCTTTGTCTTTGTCAGACAGTTTTAAGATTTGCTACTGGTCAGTGTTTTTCCTTTCATCAGTTGGACATTTAAGTGGCCCACAGAATAATTTTCCCCATTCATAGTGATTTTCTTTTTATTGATTGATTGATTGATTGTATGATTGATTGACTGATCAATTGCTATTGGTTAAACCCAGGACCTCGTGCAAGCTTAGTGTATATGTATACTCTTCACCCCCTATCCCATTCCTTTTTTTTTTTGGCAGTAGTGAGGTTTGAACTCAGAACCTTGAGCTTGCCAGGCTTATTCCTAATACTTTTCTGCTGTTAAATAACTCTTCCTGTCCTATAAGTTGCCCTAAGTTTTTGAAATACAAACTCAATCTTACTAGGTTTTGTGCCTGAAAGTTACCTTGAAAAGGCACCTTGTTTTACAGGAATATGTCCTCTGCCTGGACACAAAGGTCAAAGACCACGAAGACTACAACAGTGAGCTCCAAGAGGTGGAAAAGTGGCTGCTGCAGATGTCTGGCAGGCTGGTGGCACCTGATCTTCTGGAGACAAGCAGCCTGGAGACAATTACCCAGCAGCTAGCCCATCACAAGGTACACACGGTCCCTAGAGAGTTGACCCCAGGAAGGTTGTGAGCCCCAGATTAGAACAACCACTCCTAAGAAGTCAGGTCTGAGACTCAAGTGCAGTGACAGTTGCAAACCATTCAATGTGGTACTCAAAGTGAGAACAATTGAATCATGGTATTCAACTTGAGAACACACTGCTGCTTTGCATTTGTCTTAATAGCTTTTGTCTCATGGTTTAGTCTTCTTGGAGTCATCTGTCAAAGAGATACCTTCTATTTTTACAAAAATGCAGATAAACATGGAATGGGAGAAAGTCTGGCTCAGGGCTGGAGAGCTGAGGGCACTTAGCCACTCCCGGCCTCCTTGTTGGTCTTTGTAAAGGTAGAAACAATACCAACCTATGTCATAACTGCAGTAATAATCAAGTAAGATGATGAAAGCATTTTGAAACTATAAAGTTCCACACTGACTTGAGGTATTCTTATTTTTACCAATTTGTATTTTTAGTCATGATGTATACCAGATGACTAGTGGTCAGTTTTATGGCCCCATTCCTTGGTGATCTTAAGGGGAAATACATTAATTTTAATCAAGATGTGGTTGGCATCTACACTGTGCCTTAGGAAAGCCAGTTAACCTTTCTACATTCCCATCAGAGGAAAAGATTTTATTTAACAAATATAAATAGAAAAGCAGGCTGGCCAAATAGCTCAGTGGATTAAAGTACCTGCAAGCAGGCACAGGGGCCAGGGGTTCGAACCCCAGGCCTGCTGTGCTGGCCCTGTCCCCAGGGCCCACCGAGAGGGCAATTGAGACTGGGCATGGTGGCAAGCACCTGTAATCCCAGCTCTTGGGAGGCTGTAAACAGGTGGATCACTATGAGTCTGATCTAGTAGTGAGACCCTGAGCATCCTGAAGACCCTGCCCTAAAATACAAAAAAAGAAAAGAAAAGCAACCACTGGACCTTCCACTGAGCACTGAGGAAAGATTGCTCCCAGGAGGCAGTCTGTCCCCTCAGCCACTTCATGGTATAGGAATTCTCTTTCATCTTGAAGATGAAAAGCCTCTTTCCAGTTGAGTGTAGGTAGTGTTCACTGGCCCAGAACCATGAAAGAAAATAGTGGATGTGCACTGCCGCAGTGCCATCTATGTTTCCCTTAGATATAGCAGTGTCCACCCAGGCGGCACTGGGAACAAAAGTACCCCTTGTTGTTAGCACCGTATAGTAGTGAGCTCCTTAAAACCTGATAGGATAAAGCTGTTCCCCTCTCCCTGAGTCATCTATGGGATGCTCCCTGGAGAACGCAGCTCTCAGTAATGGTTTATGCTGAAACTGTCTAAAGCTGGACATGGGATTCTGCCATTCACTACTGTGTCACTGGCAGAACGTTATGAGACCTCTCTTTAGGCAGAGTCTTCTCAGCTGTGATTCAGTAACAATGCATGGGGCCGGCCAGGTAGCTCAGCAGACTGAAGTGCCTGCCTAGGCAGGGGCAGAGACCGGGGTTTGATCCCTGGTGTGCCTGCCGGCCCCATCCCTAGGTCAGGCTGAAATAGCATTGAGACTGGGTGTGGTGATGCATGCTTGTAATTCCAGTGTTTGGGAGGCTGAAAGCAGGAGGATTACTGTGAGTCTTATCTGTGTAGTGAGACCCTGTAGACCCTGTACTAAATACATAATATATATA